CTACAGATTAAGCACATTTCTTCATATTGCAAAGTTAGCTGTGCAGCAAAACATGGGGATAAGCAGAGCAGAGCATATTAGTACTGTGGATTTGCCTTCAAGCTATTGACCATGACTAGAGTAAATAGCAGACATCAGTCAAATTGTGCACATCATGCAGATGAAATATTTTAATGTTCATTCGAATCATCATACACATTAACAGTTTAACACTGAAAATTTCTCCTCTCCTATATGTGTGTGGTGCCATATGTTCTTGCATATATGCATTGGTGTTGAGACATGTCTTCATTGTACATTTCTTCATCTATGACTTATTATCCAATCTTTAAATCATGTCAGATTTTTTAAAAAAAGATGATAGAGATCTTTCAGGACCTGAACTAGAAAGTTCCTTAACAAGTTTATCAATACAATTGTAATCTATTCTTCTATTCACAAAACTAATGAAGCTTTGAAATACAAGTTTATTGGGTAGATTGATTTTGTTCACCTGCACTTAAGACAACTTGGACTTCTAAAGGAATTCCGTTGATACTTTCATTTTGTCTTCTTTTTGTTTCCATTTTTGCCAAGCTTTGCGAGAGTAAGTCATCTAATCTGCAAGGAATGAGCAATATCAGTAGTGAAATATTACAAAATGAAGCCATTATTTTACAGTAAAAAAGAGAAGTAGATTTATTGGGATAATAATCTCAAAAAGCATATTGAGAAGCAGAGTTCAGACAGGACACATATGAAACTAGCATATTGAATGTAATTCATTCATGCATTAAAATCTTACCAGGAATAATGTAAAGGAAAAAGATGCTTTGGGAACATGTTGCATATTGGGTTGCTGTGGGTTTTCTGGGTTGTATGGCCATGTTCTAGAAGCATTATCTCCTGATGTTTCACCCACATCTATGGCAGGCATCCTCAGAGTTTGTGAGACCTCACAACCTCTGAGGGAGCCTGCCATACATGTGGGTGAAACATCATGAGAGAATGCTTCTGGAACATGGCCATACAGCCCAGAAAACTCACAGCAACCCAGTGATTCCAGTCATGAAAGCCTTCAACAACACATACTGCATATTGTTATCTATCATATGCTAACAATGATCTCAGTTCTCCAAGTACTGGGTCTCATGTTGCCAAAATAATCTCATCCATAGCAAACACAAGATGTGTTGTTTTCCACTTTTCTCCAAATTGGGATTTAAATAAAACTAGAATAGATCACCCTGTAAAACTTGCTCTACCAACATTTCTTGCAACTATTAAGTCACAGAATATACACAAATCAGTGCTCAAATTGCTGACTACACTAAGAAATAATGAGACCACATCACAGAAAGTGAGTATATGTGCTATTTTATCTAAACTGTCACCTATTCATTTTTTCAGGGGCAGTTTAAGAGGTCTATCCTTCACCAAACTGGTAACATAGGTACTCACCAGACTCCTCCTTTCTCTCTCCACTACCTGCAAAATCATCCCCTATTTAAGACTTCACACTCAAACAGTACTAATATAGTTTTATATAGAGCTCTACCAAAGATTCTTACAACTTCAAAGTCACAGAATACACACAAAGCGGTGCCCAAATTATGGAGGCAGGTGAGGTCCAACCCTCTAACCTGTTGTGACAATTCTCTTGGCTACTATTTTTAGATGGTTCTGGGGGTATGATTTGGTTGAGGTTGGAGACATGGGGTAAAAAATGGACTTATTTGATTAAACCATCTCCATTGTGCCACTGAAACTCTGTCAATTGACACACACACATAGACATTAACACATTCACTGTCTGAGTCTGGCGTGCTTGAGCTTCTTTTGAGCAGTGACTGAATGGAAGTGACATGGTAGCTAAGTAACAAAGAACAAAGGGCACTCTTTTATATAATTCCCATTTTTCACACTTCACCACCCTGCTTTTTCACATCACGTCGGAACAAAGTTTGTATAAGCATTTCTTTTGCTCTAAATTCATTGTTATTTAACACATAAATAGCAGTCCTTTTTAACTTCATAGATATTTACTAGCATATTACCATTCTCTATTTGGGAAATGTGTAGAGGTGTCCTTTGTCAAATAAATACAGCAGGTTTCTCCCAGTTTTCTCCCACTGTCCTCATCACCAGGATGATGGGGGTTGTAGTCTAAGCCATTTGGAAATCACCCTTTTGGGTAACGCTGGACCAGTATATTGGAGAGCTAACTTTAATTAAAGTTTTGGAAATGTGTGCTAAATATCAGAATCAAGAAATGACTTTTTGAGGGTAACAGAAGAAAAACAAATAGAGATTTTTTAATGTATAAACGGGATTTTAATGCAACATATTCACATTTTTTTACATGATAGTGGACAATCAAAATTGGCTGCAGGGTCCTAGACTGAAACACAGCTCTCAAGCATTTGGCAGATATTAAAAACATCACACCAGACTAATTAGAAAAACAGCCAAGTGGAGAGTCCTGTTTAACCCTCTGTGACGTCCCTTGGGGCTCTGTTTGTCCCATCATACTAATTAGCATATGCATGAAGCTGCTAGGAGATTTCATCTGAAGTTTTGGGGTGTAGTGCCATCTACATGACATGCAACTCTACCACTCTTTTTCATCCTAAGCCAAGGAAGCTGTCCTGGTCTTAAACAGTGTCTGTCATCAGTAATGAACTGGATTTTTTTTCCGTGTCAGGAGCGACTTGAGAAACTACAAGTCACTTCTGCTGTGAGAAAATTTACTGTCTGCAAGGACATTGCCCAGGGGATACCCAGATGTTTTTGATGTTTACCATCCTTGTGGGAAGCTTTTTTCATGTCCCCGCATGGGGAGCTGAAGCTTACAGAGAGAGCTCATCCATGCTCTCCCCAGATTCGAACCTTCAATCTGTTGGTCTTCAGTTCTGCCAGCACAAGGGTTTAACCCATTGCACCACCAGGGGCTCCAATGAACTGGATGCAAACAAACTAAAACTTAATCCAGACAAGACAACGGTGCTCCTGGTCAGTCAGAAGGCAGATCAGGGAATAGGGACTCAGCCTGTGATAGATGAATTTACACTCTCCTTGAAGACACAGGCACATGGTTTGGGTGTACTCCTAGATTCACAGTTGAATCTGGAGGCTCGTGTTTCTCGGGGCTAGGAATTCATAGGGTGTGTAGTTTGGTGAGCCTCCGGTTTTCTTTCATAGAGGTGGGTAAAGTCCTTTTAAAACTATGACTCCCAGGATTCAATTGCATTGAGCCATGGCAGTTAAAGTGGTGTCAAACCGCATTCAATCTACAGTGTACCTGCATCCTGGGAGATGACAGGATGGGTCAGTACTCTCCCCTAAGAATATAGGTTTTTACTCTACAGAATTACAGTGTCATGGCAATTAAAAGTTCATTCTGACAAGCCTGCCTATAAATATTCTTATAGATTGTGAATCTGACAGATTCAAAGTACTTTCACTTTCCCAACATGGCCTTACACCAAATTCACAGAATGAATTAAAAAGTCGATGGGATTTTGACCTGCATAAATAAGAGTAGAGTGTCTAGATCCAGGGAAGTCATGCTACCCCTCTCTTCTGCCTTGGCCAGACCATATCTGGAATACTTTGTTCAATTCTGGTCACTACAATTTAAGGGAGATGTTGACAAGTTCAGAGAAGAATGTCTAAAATGATCAAGGGTCTGGAAAACAAACCCTATGAGGAGCGGCTTAAAGAGCATGTTTAGCCTGCAGAAGAGAAGGCTGAAATGAGACATGATGAGGGCCATGTATAAATATGTGAGGGGAAGTCATAGGGAGGAGGGAGAGCAGGCTTGTTATCAGCTGCCCTAGGAAGCGGAACAATGGCTTCAAACTACAGAAAAGGAGATTCCATCTGAACATTAGGAAAAACTTCCTGAGTGTGAGAGCTGTTCAGCAGTGAAACTCTCTGCCCTGGACTGTGGTGGAGGCTCCTCCTGTCGAGGCTTTTAAACAGAGGCTGGATGGCCATTTGTCGGTAGTGCTTTGAATGCAATTTTCCTGCTTCTTGGCCTGGATGGCCCATTAGGTCTCTTCAAACTTTATGATTCTATGATTCCCCCAGCCTTGTTTCAAATAAGACTGACTTTGGAAGAACATAGCAGACTTTGGAGGAGGCAGGTCGTTTCCATCTGTCCTTCCCTCCCTCCCCTCAGGATTGCTTTGTTAGGCTCCAATCCTATGCTCACTTCTAGATGTTGTGTGCTTCCAAATCTTTTCTGACCTATGGTCACCCTAAAGCATGGGTGACCACCCTATCATGAGGTTGTCTGGATAAGATTTGTTCAAATGACAATTGGTTTTTGTCTTTTTATGCTAAAGAGTGTGCCTTATCCAAGGTCATTCAATGGGTTTCCATGGCCAAATGAGGAGTTGAGTCCTCTTTTCCAGTGTCATAGTCCAAGGCTCAAATGACTACAACTCTATTGAACTCAATAAGACATCCTTCTGAATAGGCATGCAAAGGATTGTGCTGCTATTTGAATTAAGTTGTCATTGATATTTGGCTATGCCACCACAGACATTCTGGATGAAATAGTTAACGTGGGCATTACTGTGGGAGGGTAGGGTAGATGCACCATGATGTTTGACCAAGTCTAGCTCTGAGATCTTCCAGTATGATTGGCTGTTTTCAAACTGATTTAATCATGAGTAATTGCTAACAAAAGCAGGAACAGCATACAACCACTTGTAGAACTCAATTCCTTTTGAGACATTTCATCCATGTCCTACTCAAATGAGAGAAATCGGGGGAGGGGGAGGGGGGGCTTCATTATGACAAAGTTAAGCAATGAAAAGCATGGACCGCTGGAGCTTGTCAGCCAATTAAACTGAAAGCATTTGGAGTCCTTCGAGTACATTCTCATTAGAAAAAGACTCATCGAACAAATCAACTTTGCCGGAGTCCCTAAGGAAAAACTATCCTAATTATAATGTGTTTTGTATATCAAAGAAAAACCCCAAAGAGTAACAAATCATTGTATTTCTTTCTAGGGACATGGGTCACCTTTGGAGGTCAGATCTCTGATGAGGTAAGCAATTTACCATTTATAAAACAGAATGTGAGTGCTACTCATATACATGTGGCTTTAATTAAAAGTCAAGTCACTGAAAGTCTGAATAAATTGATTCTATTCCTGTCACAGGAAGTAGCAGAGAATGATCATACGGAGGGAGGTGAGAGCTTGTGAGTCTTGTACATGTCGGAGCGTTGATGCTCTTCACAGAATCTGAAATTTAATGAAGATCTCTTTTCCTTTTCAATCCAATTAAAATATTTCAAAAAAATGGCAGACTTGGTTCCAAAAAGAAAGACACAGGCAGGCATATTTTCTGGTAATTAAGTCAAATGTGAGGGCAATATTTGTTTAGAGGAGATTTGTCCTTGCCTTCCTCTAAGAAAGTATGACTTACCCAAGTTCACCCAGTAGGTTTTCATCGATGAGTGTGAATTCAAATTCTGGCCTCCCAGTCTCCTAGTCCAACACTCAAATCACTAAACCATGCTGTTATAGCAGGCATAGACAAACATTTTTTCTTTGGAGCTGCATTGTGGGCCCAGCCAGAAGGGCCAGGCTAGGAATTTTCTAGGTCCTCCAAGTGATCCTATGGTAATGTATAGCAGATTTGCTATTATCTGTGGTTTTGGTGGTAACTTCAGGAACATATTTCTCTTAGATACAGAAGTCACATTGTAGTTTACATTATTCTGAAGGAGAAACTTTTAAAGACAGGGAAAAACCAGGAAAAATCATCACAGGAAGATGTCTTTGTCTTCACAATTCAAACAATGCCAGTGTTCTTTCATTCACCTGTGAGGGAGGAGAGGTTACCAGCACCAGCCATGAAAGTTGAGAAAGGCAATGACTGATTACAGAGCCAACCTAGTAAGATGAAAGGTACAACAGGAGGGAATTCACCACTGTATGCTCTAATAAATGCCAAAATCTTGGGCAGCTGTCAATGTATCTTATGAGCACTTCTTAGCCTGGAGGACAGTCATTCTAAGTTTTAGGAGGTAGCCATTAATGACAAGCCTTTTTTCATAGCTCTTGCCTACTTGAACATCAGCGGTGGCCTGAAGGCTAGAATGATTCAAGTGGAAACTTCCCTAATGAATACAAAAAGACAGTTGAAGACATTTTGAGGTCTTTATCATGATAAATGAATTTTTTTTTTGCTTTTTAATGATACCTCTAAATCTGCCTTTTGTGGTTAGCCAACTCAGTCTACTTACTTAGTACAGAAAGTTTTGTGATTAGGCTTCACTAAACCAAATGCACCTTATCGACCTATGCTGCCTGGTAATGTCTATGTCAGTGGTCAATTGGTCAATGAGTCCACTCTTTTTATTCTTAACTTTGAATATTTCATCCATTTTTTAAAAAATTCAGATGGTTTATTTAAATTCCCAAAAGATATGTGAATGTCTAGTTCAACCGTTCTGAAAGTATGCTCTGCAGAGCCATTTGGGCTTTGCAAAGCATACTGAGGGGCTCCGCACTGCCCTCCTCCTGTTTCCTGCTTCTCCTATTCTTGCTCCAAGGGTATGTGTCACCACCATCACCATGCTGCTTCCCTCTTCCCTCCTCTTCCCTCCTCCTCCTCCTCCTGCTCCTTCCTTGAGGTTCAGTTGCTCCCCGAGGCTCAGCTCACATTGGGGGACCAGAAAGGGTGGGGTGGCTCCTACCAGCACCAGGCAGAAGGGCCCTACACCAGGCACTACAGGCACTGAGGGGAGCATCCCGAAGCCCACCCTCCCTCCTGCCTTCCCTTCTGCACTCCCTTCCTTTGTTTTCCTTCCTCCCTTCAATCCTTCTTCTCTTTCTTTCTCACTCTGAAAGTAAAGAGGAAGAGGAGGAGGGCTTTAAGATCCAAGCCAGGATTTTAAAGGGCAGAACTTTATCACCAAAATATCTGCAATGGTTCGGATAGTTCCTTTCAAATTCTGACTAAAACCCAGAACAAATTCATCCCCTTGTTGACATGGGAGACAGCAGGCACCACTACTACCACCAACCTCATATTTTAGCCAGCCAGGTGCAGGACAGCTCAAGATGACCAAGCCTTATGAGACTGTTCTTGCTTGGCTTAGGGTTCTTCTCAACCTAACAAGGAAAATTATTTGAAAAAAACTATATATATATAGGTTTTTCTCAAATTATATATGTGTGTGTGTGTGTGTGTGTGTGTGTGTGTGTGTGTGTGTGTGTTAGTTAAGAAACCCCCGGAGCTTGTAAAGTGTGCAGTACTCTTTGTATCTCTACCCATACACACAACTTCTTCATGAAACCCAAGACCATTCCCTCCACCTTAGCATCCTCACAAATAATGAGCTTCAGTTTGAAAAGCTATCTAGCCCTTATATGATTAAACAGTAAAAAAAAGTAGAAGAAGGGTGTAACCGGTGCCCACAAACCATTATCACTAGAACAGTGGCAGACTGAAAGGCCACAAGAGATCACCTTGCTATAATATTCCTCACTAATGTGAAGTGTAGTATATTTTTATGTAGATTGTAGTCATATCAAATGTGTGCCTAAGAAGATATGAGAACCAGTGTGGTATAGTGGTTCAAGTGTTGTACTGGAACTTCAGAGATCCAACTTCAAGTCCCATTGGAAATCATAAAAGTCACTGAATGGCCTTGTATGCAGAGTAGAGGGAAGCCAGCCATATGGGCTACCTTAGGCCTCTCAAAAATATAGGATATATATTTGATAAATAAACACATATGGAAGCATTATGTAAACATCCACTCTCTTCTGTCCTCTCTTTTGCTGACACTTTCCCACCTCTTCTGCAAATACATTTATTCCTCCTTCTTCTTTTTTGCAGTGTGTATATGTCTGCTTCATATCATCCTCCTTCAGACTCCTAAGGCCATTTCTGCCACTCTCAGCCCCAAAACAAACTATACCCCCTTTTTTGTTTCCCTTGTCATTTTGGGTAATGTAGCAGCAACAAGATGACAGAAGGGGCTGTTAAGCAGTGGAGGGTCAGGGCTCGGATGTCTTTTGAGAAGTGAATGTGCTTTAGGCTTTAGGAACTAACTGAGATACCAGATGCTTTCACCCAAATAGATTCAGAACTTTGGACAGCTCATAGTAAAAACCAGATTGGATTCACCACTAGCATCACATCCACCATCCATCTCCACTACAAATGGGCAGCTATTTTCTTCACTCTCTGCTTCAGTCCACTTTGCTCAGACTAAGTCACTATAAACAAGTTCACTTCTAAAATTAAGCATATCATTATTTCTGATAGCTGTCATTAACTGCTGTGAACACTTGCCATTGATTTTTCCTACCCAAATGTGTTGGCCTTCAAAATAATTGGCTGTTTCTCAAAGGAACTCTTGAGTACAGGTATGGCATATATAGAACTAGTTTGCTTTCTTTTATTAAGGAAGCCAGAAAAATGGGTGATTTTGTTCTATTTATTTATTGTGTCATCAGCAACCAGACATTTGTATTACATTTTTAACAAAAATAAACAAACAGACAGACAAAACACAGAATTTGCAAGCTTGGTAGTTGATTAAATGTCCTTTGACCAGTAGCTGGTCATTTGGATTGCCTCTGGTGTTGCCGCAAGGAAGTCCTCCATTGTGCATGTAGCAGGGCTCAGGTTGCACTGCAGCAGGTGGTCTGTAGTTTCTTCTCCACACTCGCATGTCGTGGATTCCACTTTGTAGCCCCATTTCTTAAGATTGGCTCTGCATCTCGTGGTGCCAGAGCGCAGTCTGTTCAGTGCCTTCCAAGTCGCCCAGTTTTCTGTGTGCCCAGGGGGGAGTCTCTCATTTGGTATCAGCCATTGATTGAGGTTCTGGGTTTGAGCCTGCCACTTTTGGACTCTTGCTTGCTGGGGTGTTCCAGTGAGTGTCTCTGTAGATTTTAGAAAACTATTTCTTGATTTAAGTCATTGACGTGCTGGCTGATACCCAAACAAGGGATGGGCTGGAGATGTCACTGCCTTGGTCCTTTTTTTGTTGTTGTTCTTGGTCCTTTTTTTGTTCTAAAGATCATAAAGTCAAAGTGTTGCTTTTTCTTATATCCTCTGCTCAGAACCAAACCACGTGACTACTGTGGACAGAATCTAAAGCTTGGCTGCATAAGATGCGCAAAAAAAAGATGACAATGAAATGAAACCTAATTTTTATTATCTGAATTTCAGCAGTTTTATAATGAAGCAAATTACATTGTTGTACCAATTCAGCATTTTAGAGATAACCCTTGTTCGTCCCTTATCTTGCTGTGCAAATGCACCCTTGGGGAAATTCTGTAGACAAAGAAGCAGTGAGAATAGTCAGGTAGAACCTCTCATCAGAGATAATGGAAGTAGATTCCATCTCAGTTGAGGTAGGAGCAAGAATAGCAGCCATTAACAAAGTGGTAACAAGGCTCAGAAGGTTACTTTTTTGAAGTGCAACTCCCCAGATTCCCTAGTCAGTATGGCCAGTGGAAGCTAAACCACAAGAAAGAAACTATTCTCAGTTCTGGTGACTGCTGAGCCGTTTGATCCAGGCTCTGGCTTTGATGAGTTGATTGAAGCATATGGTGTTGCTAATGAACCATTTTCTCTATTCATGCTACAGGAGGTATATTCAAACCTATTCATGAATTCATTTAAGTGGTTCTCATTGAAATCTGACTTTGAGGCAGGACTGGTCCTACTTTTTTAAATAAATCATTTAAGAACATTTTTGCATTGCTTTTGATTTTAATCCAATAATAATAAATATTAAAAGCAACAAAATAGAATAATCCTTTAAAAATAATTCATTGAAACCATCATTGTTAATACTAAAAATGTTTGACATTGAGGGAAATAATCAGGAAGTAATTCTTTGGCAGAGAGCAGCAGCTGCCTTGAACAGAAGGTTTTTATAGTACCATGTAAAGGAAATAAATCGTTAGGTATTCATTGACATTGTTATTATTGGCCAGGGTCCAGGAGTTCTGGCATAGCAGAATGCCCTGCTGGCATTGCTGTACTAGATTGCCCGGTGGGTGCCCTCAGCCAGAAGTTGTTTCTTTCTGGAGAAACCTATTTCTTTGATGAGCCTATTTCTTCAACACCGAGCTCTGGGAATCCTGGAGGCAAGATGCTATGAGAATTTCCCTGTGCCTTTTTGACAGGCTGTTTCCCAAGACATCCCTCCTACAGTGCCCACGCCAAGGATCCCCAAGAGGCAAACACTGAAGTAAAGGCATAGCCATGTTACTTCGGAATATCAATGAGTACCTCTGTTACTGTAGAATTAATGCAGGTTGATGCCACCTCTAAACTGGCGTGAGTCCATGTTATGGAATCCTGGGAGTTGCGGTTTGGTGAGGTGCCAGTACTCTTTGGCAGAGAAGACTAAAGGCACTGTAAAACTACAACTCCCAGGATTCCATTGCATTGAGCAGTTAAAGTGGTGTCAAACAGCATTAATTTTACCATGTAGAGACACCCCATATGAAAAAGTATATTGTAGCACCTTTGAGACTAACTGAGAAAAGAGTTGTAGCATAAGATTTTCATAGACTTAGGACTTTATCACATGAGGCTGATATTTTATAATTATGGCATGATAAGAATACTTGTGGATAATACCTATTGCACAATGATGTGTATCTCCCATAGTCGTATTGAGCTTGAATCATGATTGAATCTTCTCTTTTCATTGAAAGGAAAAACACATAAACGAATCCAATATTGCTGTTTACTTGTCACTCTTCTTTGTGCGATAATGTTCTTCTGCTCCAGTCCAGTATTGCAAACACGAGAAAGCCAAAACTGCACTAAAATAGAACTGTGGCAAAATGGGGGGGGGGGGAATAGAAAAACACAGTATGCATGAATGTTGTGCTTTATCAGAAACCCAGTTCAAAACAATAAGCAGAAAGGAGTAAGCTAGCCAAAGTCAGCAGTCCAAAATCAGAAGCACAAAATTCAAACAACAAACTGATAAGGGTGAGCCAAAGCCGAATTAGCCAAAGTCAAGCTGGAAAAGTAACAGTCAACTCATGAACCAGTGAAAGCCAAGGTTGCAATCCTGGGTTAAAATGCCAGTAGTCTGAAAAGCAGCATAGCCAGGTTCTGAGCCAAGATACAACAATGTTTGCCACAACAAAACTTCACACTGAACACCTTTTTATTCTATGATCTCAGCTATTGCTTGCTTAATGCTTGTTTCTCTGCTAATCTCAAAGACGTGATACTCTGAATGCTCTTTCCTGCACTCCAAAGCTGAGGGTACGTTTAACTCTTCGCTAGTCTGTTCCAAAGTATTTTATTCAGCTTGCTCAGACTGCAGGAGACCAATTGCTGCGGCATGAAGAGTTGTCTAAGGAAACTGCTGGAAGCTGCTGACCTCCATCTCATCTGCTGGTCCTTCCAGCAACTCCTCATCTTCCAATCATGGAATGAGGAATTAGACTTAGAACTTTATCAATCAGTCTGTTGTCTCATTGCCAATGTGTTCTTTAAGTAAAGGGAAACATATAGTTATTGAAACAATGACTTTCGCACTTTGCTGCAGTTGTTGAACTTGGTCTTCTGTGCAGTCTTGCTTCCTATCCTATATGAGTCATGGCAGCTCTGATCAGAGGATGAAAGCTTAGGCTGCAGTTCCTTTCTCTCAGTCTCCAAGAGGCTACAAGAGCCCATCACATACTGAAGAAATAGGTCACTCTCCAGACAGACAGCCTCTGGCTAGAATTACATGGTGGATAGCAGCATATTTCCAATTTACCACTACCTTCAGCCATCCCTGACCATTTATTACTGCTCCCACTTGCAGAGAAGGATTTGGGTACCTCTCTAAAGGGTCCTGTCTTTGCAACCAGAAATGGGGAGAGGTACTTGAGGGACTTTCTCTCTTCTCTGCCAAAAACCCTGGTTATTTTTGTGTACTATGCAGGTTGACTTGAGTGGTGGAGAGCGGAGTATTATTGTTATTTGTTGTCCAGCCTCCATATAATGGGAAGGCTTATTGTTCTGTCACTCCTGCTAATAAGGGAAAGGACCTGTGCAATTGATGATAGACTCATTGATACAGCATAAGTAAAATTACATTTTGAGGAGGGAAAGAAAAAATGGCACTTGGCTATTCCCTATCTCTACAGTACTGTGTAGTTTCACTCTTCTGACCTGTATCATCTAGATTGAAAAAGCCCTGAGGTTCAATGTAGAACTGCATGGCACAAGGTTACCATCTTGACATGCTTGACTGGGAGAAAGTTATATGTCTACACACATCAGCTTATTTTGCTATAGAAATGAGTATAGGCACTGCAGAAATTGGGCTTCATCATCATTCCTTTGGTCTGTCCTTTTTGTCCTAGAGTGCTTTAGGCAATGAATTAAATTCAAAATGCTACTCATAGTATCAGTCATCTTTCATGTGCTTCCAAGTTCCTTGTCCACTCTTCATGGTTTAAAAAATGAAAATTGATTTGGGACTGAGTTCTTTGATTCCTCTCTTTATAGCTCTTCTGTCCTGAATCATTTTCGACAGTGCAGCAACGCATGGAAGGCTGTGATTGCAGGAATGTCTTATTCCTGAGACTAATTTCATGTCTCTGTTTCCCAAAGATTGCTGAACGGCTCATGACGATTGCCTACGAGAGTGGGGTAAATCTGTTTGACACAGCAGAGGTATATGCAGCTGGAAAGTAAGTATCTAATATTGTTATAGAGGATCCAGTTTAAAAAACAAACAAAAACAAAACCTTAACCCCTGGTCTATTAAAATGCAGACATTTGAAATATGAATAAAAGAAAGATGAATGAGAATTTTTTGCCTAATTTGGCACAACAGCAGCCATTTTGGGGCTGTGCATAAAAGTTAACAATAGTGTAAGAACTATGTGGCCGAATGGCACTGAGTAACTTTGTTTGGCCCTAAAAATCTGGGGTAGGTATCACTGCTTGACTTCCATTTTATACTTGACATTGTTAATTCCTTCCGTTATCAGATGGTGTACATTTTTTCCCTCCCATTCTGCTGAATATGACGCTTTGGACAGGTACTGACTTGGCTAAAATGTAGAAGGGAAGGGGAAGAAATACACATTGTTATTCATTGAGTTTCCTTTGGGCCCTTCCAGACAAGCCCAAAACCTGGGAAGAACTGGGTTTCTTAACCCAGTTTCTCCTGGGTTTCTGTTCCCATGCCTCCTACAACCCCAGGCTTTCCCTTGGGGGAGGGATGGCTAGATGCCATCCTGGGTCAACCAAAGGATGGCACCCAGATCCTTATTTCCCTCTCTTTCTCCCTCCCCCTTATGCGTCATTTTCACTTATCAGGAGTACTCTCTGGAGGAGCCTGCACTGCCAGCAGGCATCTTGGGTAAGTGTCAGAGAGGAAAATGGAGAGCTGGGGGGGGGGGGAGGAGTGGACCCCATACTGCTTAAGGAGCCCAAAGAACTGGGATGGCTGTGGGGATTGACTGCAGAAGCAGTCAATCTTCACAGGGCCCACACCTGGAAAGATCTGGACCTTAGCTTAAGGTCCCTATCTTTCCAGGTGTTTATTATTCTGGAGCAAATGGGGCAATCCCAGTTTTCTCCAGATTAATTCATTTTTACCTGAGGCACCATTTGGACACTTCAGGTAAAACCAAGACAGGTCCCTAGTTTTTAGGTCTGTCTGGAAAGGCCCTTAGTTCAATTTCATGGACATGGAAAGGGAATTGAGAAGAAAATGCCCATACGGTGCAGCACTACTCTCAGCTATCACACCTTTTGAACATTAGCACCCACCCAAGCAATACAAAATTCTCATCCAAACAATTCTTAGGCTGAACCAATGTCAGGTAGTAGTGCTCACTTTCTTGTATTTGCTGAAACCCAAGTGGCTTGTTGCCTATATGTTATTGAGTTTTTACATTTGTCACCACTCCAGGGACCCTTGGTGTCTGCCAAGGATTATGTACATTATGTACAATGGTATAGTAATATGGTATCCTTATATATAAAATGGCAAAATCATTTGCTTTTCTCGTACCGTTACATAAATATATATTCTGTGGATACAGAGGACCAACTGTACTAGAATTCTTCTGCCAAGAACGTATTGTGCAACTAAAATCTGTTTCATAGGCAGTAGCAGGGGAGCACACAAATTTCTATACTGGCTTCATAGTAACCTCTTTCCAAACCCTGCTCATGCTTCAGTAAAATCATGTGATCAGAACCTCATGAAATATCTCCAAAAATAGTCATTACTTTGAATGATATTCTCCAGGTCTTTCAGCAGATGGTTACAACAGCTGAGGCATTGCAAAGGGACTAGAAGCTCAGGGTTGTGAGGGAAGCAGCACCAGTCAGTCCAAAAGTAGCAGATGAGAAGCTAGTGTGCTGCTTTGATCTCTAGCCAATGCCAACTCTATGTTAGAGTTCCCTGCAACAGCTCAATGAACTCTTGCATACTCTCTGTTTTCATGACCCACTTCCATAAATGCTCTCTCCCATCCAGCCACATACACACACATATAAAAGAGGAGCCAGTTCTAGTAAATACATCTGGTATCCCCTTTATTCTACTGTTTGTCTGGACGTCTTCCCATTTCCCTGGATGTTCAGCTAGCTTCTTTCTGCATCTCCATGTGCATGCACTGGCTTCGAAGCTTCAAGTCAGAACTCACTTGATTTTTAGCCCCAAAATTAATTTTTCAGTAGTAGGATTCATCACTAGATTGAAAGCTTGAAGAAGGTACTTTGTGGACTACAACTCCCGTAGTCTTTCAGACAGAGAATTCTAGGAGTTTTTATCCAAAGGAGGATTTTTTAAAAAATGACCTCTTTATATGAACCAATAAAAAAGGGAAACTGTCTTTGATCATATGCAAATCAGTTTTTCTTTAATATTAATACCTATAGCTGGAGGGATATAAGTATCAGAGGGGGTACTGCACTACAGAGAAGAAGACGGCAATATAATTTATTAATTTACAGGTGTCGGCGGTGGCTGGAAGGGCCTTCACACAACTAAAACTCGTGCGCCAGCTGTATTTTGCTGTTTGGTACCTTTGGGCTTGGCCTCATGTTAGCCGCCCCAAGTCCCCTTTGGGGAGATGGTGATGGGGTATAAATAAAGTTTATTATTATTATATTATTATGCATATTAACAGTATGGATATATTGCAATTCCTCATTCTCAAAACAAAAATAGAAATAGGTATGGTTTCATTAGGACAATGTGAGCACAGCAAAACTTCCTTTAGCTGATATTTTATGACTAAGTTAAAATTGCAATATTTTGCTGTGCTGACCATGGTCACAAACTGCATGCTACAGGTGAAAGGGCAGAAATAAAAAAATTAACATTGACAAATAAGTCTGGTGATGGTAATGTTTGGCTTCTTTGGACACAGCAGCTGTGTTCGGATAGTCATATCTTGGCTTCTAAATTAGTGTGCACACTTCTTTACTATGTAAATGTATGTTGTTTGGTGTGCTTTCTGTGAGCTGCCCCGAGTCGCTTCAGGGAGATGGTGGCAGTGTATAAATAAAGTTTATTATTATTATTATTATTATTATTATTATTATTATTATCTCTCTTTGTTCTTGATTGAACTTCAATTTCTCATTTTTAGGAAAATATTTTGGGAAACTTTGAGAAATTATGATTAATGGCTTGGATACAAGCCAAGTTTTTGGGTCAATTTCAAACCATAGTTAAATATCCTGGCTGATTTTGAAACTATTAATCATAGCTTCCCAGAAGTGCAGGTAATTTTCTTTGGGCAAAGGATGGTGACATTAGATGCTGCTAAAACCCATGAAGGGTGACATTGTCAAACCGTTTCCTTCCACCATGGACCTTTAATGGTAGCAGTCAAAGTTATCCCAGCCAATTTTTGGTTAGAACTGTTTTGTCTCAGAGTACAAGAGAATATGTATGATTAATAGACACTTATTTGCTGGCTTATTCAGAAGAATTAGTTAAGAGATTGCATACACAGCCAAAAGACTAAACGTATTTAGGTCAAGATATGATAATCTGAAAACAATCGCTGAATTACTGTATGACACCCTGGTATGTTTCATAATAACATATTGAAAAAGACTTGAAAATGGTGATTTATCAGGCTGACTGCAATGCTGTCTTGCTAGGTAATTGTGCAAATAACTAAATTGCTGATATTGGAAAGCACAAACCAGAGAACAAAATAGGCACTTGTAAGTCAGGCTGGCAGTGATCAACATGCCTTGCTCACATGTTCAAAAACATTTATTCTGTATTGTGAAATTGTTGTTTTTCTTTTCTCTGCAGAGCGGAGGTGATTTTGGGAAACATAATAAAAAAGAAAGGTTGGAGGTAATGCGAAGATTTAAGCGTTTGGCTCTCTTGATACCCACTTTGTGTTCATAGTAGAACTGAGAGTGCTAAATTCAGACTCACAGGTCTCTTGTGAAACTCTTGCCTTTCCTCATCAAGGCTTTGCAAAATTGATCTGAAATCCAGGCCCAGTGCCAGGCTCTCATTGAGATTCTTCTGGTTTTCCAACCAAAGAAAGGAAAAGTTTTTTGGTTTCAGCTGAACTAACCTGTTCTGGTGCTGCATGGAAGAAATTGACCTGGGGATACCTTGTCCCACAGGGGACCTGTCTACCCAGTGCCTTGGTGTATTGCCTCAACGCCTGATACTAATTGTGAGAAGTTGAGGTTGGTGACAGGTGGACACTAGGGGACAATATTTTATGGTTGAAAAAATGCTTTTTTAAAAATTCCATCAGATTTTAGAAAGTCTCTCTTTTCTTTTCCTTTTTCTTTTTGGGCCACAACTTCTTCAATCCCCATTGAATGTGGGCTGTGCTATAGTTCTTGTATATTTTGTGGTTAGTAATGTTGACATTGGCTTCATAATCTGCTTCACAATAAAACTGAAATCTTAATTTTTTGTTTTGGTTTTTTTTTTGTCTAGGAGGTCAAGTCTAGTCATTACGACAAAACTCTACTGGGGAGGAAAGTAAGTTTATTTTGTAATCACTATGTTCTAGAAAACAATTATTAGTATGTTCATGTCCCTCTGGGCATCTTACACAAAGAATGTCATAGCAACATTGGGGAATCATAATGTCCAAACAGTAGAGGAAATGGGAAGTAGTCATGTGGATGAAATTTGTTTCTTCTGTTTCATTCGTTTATTTCATTTCTTTTGTTCATTCGGAGGCACGGAACAGGAAGGTTGCTCCTGGGACAAAAATAAACTGGACACGAAAGCAGGCGGGAGTCGGTACCAGCTCCAAGCCTGCTTTTCGGCATCACTGTTATAGAGGAGAGAAGAGGGACTGTGCTCAGGGGGGAAACTAGCCAGGTCTGCTGCATTTCTTGCTGCCATTTCTCTATTCACTCCAAGGAGGGTGTGTGTGTGTGTGGTGTGCAGCCCCAAAGTGCCTGCACCTGATAGGGCCTGCAGCCAAGTGCCGAGAAAGCGACACTAGGCTGTAGGCCCTGGCAGGCGTGGGTTCTTTGGATCTGCATGCCACACATGCACTCCTTGGAAAGAGAGTGTGTATGTGTTGTACAGACCCAGAAAGCACCCACACCTGCCAGTGCCTTAGTGGGCCTGCACGGTTGCAGAGAAAGGCTGCTGGCAAACGCAATGGAGGGCAAGCCCCTGCAAGCCACCAGTGAATGTGGCATGTCCCAGCCCCACGCCAAGGACCACACTGTGAGTCCACCCCTAGCTCTGATGAAGAGATCTCAGCAGTGGCACAAGGTAGGTTTCCTGACTGAAGGGGGAAATGGCAGCGAGAAATGGCGGCCGAGCTGGGTAATACATATTAGAGAATGTTTAACCTAAAGGCAACTTCATTCATGGGCATGTGAGCAGATGGCTTGCTACAGTGAAAGCAGATCAAAAAGTCCATCGTGTTTAAAATAACTGGGGCCTCTGCACACGTTCACTCACTCATTCTCTCTCTCCTGCCCAAAATTGGCTAAATAAAAGGCAGTTTTTTCTCTCTCCCTCTGTCACATGAATGCTGTACACATATTTTTGGCTAAAATTACCTCTGATGTGCTGAATCAAGCCTTTGAACTGAAGGCTGAATTATTCAAAGTTGACCCGGCCCCGCTGAAGAAAATTCTTCACCCATCTTAAACAAAAGAAAACAATTGCCTAGTGACTGTCACTGTGCAAAATAAATTACTGCCTATTGTTGAAAGAATGCTGAGCATAGAACCGAGGAAATGAATACAAGCTGGTCACATACCCTCCAACATTTCACAGGTGAAGACAGAGGCACATCTGACCAAGCAACATCAGAGTGTAGTCAAAATGGGGGAAAATATTAAGGAATACTGTGGTCTCTCCACATTTGTAGTTTTAACATTTGCAAATTGGATTATTTGTGGATTTAATTTAAAATCTTATATCTGGAGATATGTAGATTTTGCAGTTTAACACTGTGCTCAACTTCCTCCAGTCCTGCTAGAGGACCTGGAGGTTTCTAGAGAGAACACCTCTGTAGGAATTTCTAGGTCCTCCAATGGAATTCTATGCTTAGTTTCTAGTGAAAGTTTACCAGAGTAGTCCTGGAAGATCTAGAAATTCCCAGAGGGATATTTTCTCATGTTAAAAAAAAAAAAGAAATGACTTTATTTGCAGTGTTTCACTTTCATGGGGATTTGTTGCCCCTAAATTAAGCTAACATGGAGGGCTGGCTGTAACATACAAGCCACTAGATCAGGTATGGGCAAACCCAGGTCTGGGGCCAGATGCGGCCCCTTGGGCTCTTTTCTCAAGCCCTCTTCTCTCTCACTATCCTATCCTTCCTTCCTTCTCTCTTTCCTTCCTCCTTCCCTCCTTCTCCCTCTCTTTCCCCTTCCTTCCTTCCTTCCTTCCTTCCTTCCCTCCTTCCTTCCTTCCTTCCTTCCTTCCTTCCTTCCTTCCTTCCTTCCTTCCTTCCATTCCTTTTGTCTTTCCTTCTCTCTTTCCATCATGGAGTGGGGTACAAATAAAGTATTATTATTATTATTATTATTATTATTATTATTATTATTATTATTATTATTATTATGCCCCTACTAAAACAGCTTCACTGGCTGCCAGTGAGCCCTATATGCTTTGGGTCCAACCTATCTTTGAGACCGTATCTCTTTCTATGAACTGGCATGGGCATTAAGATCTACCGGGAAGGCCCTACTCTCAGTCCTACCTCTGTCTCAAGTGTGGTTGGTGGGGATGAGAGAGAGGGCCTTCTTGGAGGTGGCCCTCCAACTTTGGAATGCCCTCCTGAGGTCTAGCCCCTACTCTCTAAACTTTCCGTATGCAATTGAAGACATGGCTTTTTTAAACAAGCCTTTGAACATATTTAGACTCCTTTAATATGTGAGAACCTATAAATTACCAAGCACTTTACAAGACTGAGACTGATTACTGTTGTTTTACTTGCAGGTATCACTGTATTTTATTGATTTTAACTCATAGGCATTGTGAAGTTGTGGTTTTATGTTATTGTTTCTACACTTTCTATATTTTGTGTGGTTGCGCCTTTGAGTGCTTTCTGAGCCGCACCGATTAAGAGAAATCCCTATTTTCTCTCACTCTGTAGTGCTCATAATCTCTGAGGCATCTGGCAAAGCCAAAGATAATCCAAATTATTTCCCTGCTTAGAGTACAGTCCGCAATTGAGACCATTCTCCTTTTCAACTGGCTGGGGAAGAGAATGAGCACAAACAGCAGCAACAACCACAATTGCGAAAATGGAGCACTGGAAAGCTTTCCCGAAGTGCATACTAATGAAGTCCAAAGTTATCGAATGAATGTTAATTTTCTTAATGGCTAATAGAGAATAAAAAGACAACCCCTGCCTTCTTTCCTTCTTTAGGTGATGGTGGCTTTTGAAACCAGCCCCTAACTATGCAGGAGAGCAAATTTCTTTTCTTTGATTTCTAAGACTGCTGCTAATTAGTTTGAAGTTTTTCTTCTGATAAAGCAAGGGGAAATTTTAGTTTTGAACACAGCCAGTATGCCAAACATCCTTTGAAACTGTCCCTATTAAGTTGCTTGTTAGGCTTTATGGCTCCCAATTTACAGTCTTGGTTCCCATTTAACATTGCACACACTCACAAACTGAAAGAAGTAGAGGTCAGTTGCAAAAAAATCAAAAATGAACCCATTAATTTTAATGTATTAGACTTTGTCTGTTTTCAACATTATGTCAAAATCTTGGACATTAAAGATGGAGAAGAAAAGTTTCCTGAGGCTAAAAGTAAGACAAATTGGTATTTATCTGAACCCAAGAAGACTCGTGTTAGATGCATGAGACTTTTGTTTGTCTGATTTTTATTCCCTCTTTCTCCCAAATGGAACTCCAGTATAAGTTAAAACAAAATGCCTGTAAATATATCCCCAAAGTCTAGAAAGCAGTAAAACATCAATTCAATTAAAGCAGTGCTTTTAAGCCATTCATTAAAACCAACTTTTTTGTGTCAGGAGAAACTTGAGAAACTGGTGTGAGAGAATTGGCCATCTGCAAGGACATTGCCCAAGAGACTCCTGGATATTTTGATATTTTACCATCCTTGTGGGAGGCTTCTCTTATGTCACCACATGGGGAGCTGGAGGTGACAGAGGGAGCTCATCCCCACTCTCCCCGGATTCACACCTCCAACCTGTAGGTCTTCAGTCCTAGCGGCACAAGGGATTAACCCATTGCGCCACGGGGGGCAACTAAAACACATGAAATAGTCCACATATTATAAATAGCACACTGAATTGCATGTCCCGCTATCTCAACCAGTTGAGGCTGAAGAACTTTTTTAGTAGGAAGGTCCTTGCCTGTTAGAAAAAGGAAAGAATAGGGGGACAAATCAGACCTCCAAGGAGGAGCATTCAAAAGAATACCATTGTTTAGGAACAATCTCTGAGAAGGCTCCCTTTTGCCCTTTACTGGACTTGGATTGATGGATGGATACACGCACACACACACAAATATACACACATACATATACATACACACATATACATACACTGTGTGTGTGTGTGTGAGAGAGAGAGAGAGACCCCACAGAAATTGACCCCACTCATAGAGGTCTAGAGGAGTTCTTGAATTTAGGATGGTTAGGGGGTTCCTATAAAACCTACCATGGTGACACAACAAGTTAACATGCTGACTGGAAGGTTCGTGGTTCGAATCTGCAGGACGGGTGTGAGCTCCCACTGGTAGCCACAGCTCCTGCCAAACTAGCAATTCGAAAACATGCAAATATGAGTAGATCAATAGGTACCACCTCAGCAGGAAGGTAGGAGCCCCAGGTGGTGCAGTGGGTTAAACCCCTGTGCCGGCAGGACTGAAGGTCACAGGTTCGAATCTGGGGAGATGCGGATGAGCTCCTATCGGCTCCAGCTCCTCATATGGGGACATGAGAGAAGCCTCCCACAAGGATGATAAAAACATCAAAAATCATCCTGTCATCCCCTGGGCAACGTCCTTGCAGACGGCCAATTCTCTCACACCAGAAGCGACTTGCAGTTTCTCAAGTCGCTCCTGACACGACAAAAAAAAAAGCAGGAAGGTAAATGGCGCTCCATGCAGTCATGCTGGCCACATGACCAGGAGGTATCTACGGACAATGCAGGCTCTTTTTCTTAAAAATTGAGACGAGCATCACCCTCCAGAGCCTGAGATGAAGGGGAAGCCTTTACTTTCATCTATCTGTGTTTCATTGTTTCACGGCATTGAATGTTTGCCTTGTGTCTCTGTGTGTGCTGGAATCTGCCTTGAGTCCCTTCAGGGAGATAGGGCAGGATACCAAATACCCCAGAATTTGATTTAGGGTATTACTTGACCACATCCATGCCCTCTCTTCAACAGTGGATTTTAGGGCCCCATCCCTTTTAAAGTTGCTCCTTCCTGTCCTAAATTGATATCAGACAAGATACTAATATACTTATTTCTTTATTAGGGAGTTACTGTCCGCATGATTGTTCTTTTCAGTAGAAGTCTTTTGTAGGGAGTTTCATATATGTGAGAGATTTTACAACAGGAGCCTGTTGCAGGCAAGGGGATTTTGACCAATCGATACTAAGGCAACTGTTATAATCACGCTGCCAGCTCTGATTTGCTCTTCTGTTGACCTGTGTTCCAATGCAGTTAGTGAACCATGAATTATGAAAATCTGATTGTTAAATGAAAGTTAACTGTTTCTTAGTAGTTTATTGGTACAGCCACAAAGATTTCTTAGAAGAGCTGCAGGAAGTCAGCATGCCAGTAGATCGTTCTGAGTATGTGTCTAATACACCTGGTTTAATGCTTTACTAAGTCAAATTGGTTTGCAAAGTGTTGCATGAGACTGTATTGACCAGATAACATACTTGCAAGTTTAGGAACATGAAAGCAGAATCTCACATTTTTAAAAGTGGCCATTTTTTGTCTTTGCAGAGCTGAAACAGAAAGAGGACTCTCAAGAAAACATATTATTGAAGGTATTTATCAATAATTGTCAGGATCCTTTTATCAATTTATACTTAACTAAGTATGTAACTATGTAACTTATCCCAGCTAGACCCCTCTAAACGTGTCAGAAACATAACTCAGCCATGGTCTGATTCTCAACAAAACTGACTTCCCCCTCCCTATGTAGATGATGCCCAATTGTGTGCAAGTTGTAACACTCTTCTCCCTATCAGGCATTAGCTACATGGGGACAAAGAGGTCTATTCAACCAATGATGGGAATATGACTAAATTATGGCTCTCACAGGGGCCACGTTGGTGCAATGGGTCAAGCCCTTGTGCTGCTGAACTGGCAGTTCAAATCCGCGGGATGGGGTGAGCTTCTGCTGTTAGTACTAGCTCCTGCCAACCCTAGCTCCTGCCAACCTAGCAGTTCGAAAACATGCAAATGCAAGTAGATCAATAGGTACTGCTTCAGCGGGAAAGGCAAGCAGTCATTCCAATCACATGACCAGGAGGTGACAGTGCAGGCTCCTCAGCTTGGAATAGAAAACAGCACATTTCCCAGAGCCAGAGATGAGCACCGCCTCCAAAGCTGGAAATGAAAGGAGGAGGCTTTGCCCTTGTTTGTGTTTGTGTGAATCAATGTATTGTAACAAGGCATTGAATATTTGCTGGTATCTGTTGACACTGTAATCCGCTCTGAGTCCCCATGGGGAGAAGGGCGGAATATAGATAAAGTTTTATTGATATAAATAAAGTGTTTGGAGGAGGCAAGTCAGGAAAAGTTACATGCAGAAGGCTCTCCATATCCATAGAGCCATCCATAGCTTGAAAATATGTTTTTAAAAATACAAAAAACAAACCTTGATTTTGTTATTTATGTACCATTTTAATATATCATTGTGTTCATTGAGGCTTGAGCATCCATAGATTTTGGTATCCACAAGGGTCCTGGAACCAAATCTCAATGGATATGGAGGGTCTGCTAAAATGAAGTATTGTCTGTATATAAATTCAACATAAAATTTGGTGTCAATTCATAATTCTATCATACTACACAATTATAGCACTGTCACAGTCATCCCTCCTATCCACAGATTCTGCACTAATGGATTCAACCATCCATAGATTGAAAAACATCTAAAAAGCCCATTTTTATTTTGCCACTTTGTATAAGTTTTTTTTTGTCATGTCAGGAGCGACCTGAGAAACTGCAAGTTGCTTCTGGTGTGAGAGAATTGGCCGTCTGCAAGGACGTTGCCCAGGGGACGCCCGGATGATTTGATGTTTTATCATCCTTGTGGGAGGCTTCTCTCATGTCCCCGCATGAGGAGCTGGAGCTGATAGAGGGAGCTCATCCGCCTCTCCCCGGATTCGAACCTGCAACCTGTTGGTCTTCAGTCCTGCCGGCACAAGGGTTTAACCCACTGCGCTACCAGGGGTTCCTTTTATATAAGTGATTCCATTTTATTATGCCACTATATATAATGGGGTTTGAGCATTAATGAATGTTGATATCCAAGGGGAGTCCTGGAGCCCAACCCCAGCAGATACCAAGGGCTGACTCTATTCCAGTTGCATTGCCATGAGCCTCATAGTCTGATGAGGCAGCAGAGCTCTCTGGCTGAGACTTCCCTAAACCCCTAATCCAAGGATCCCATAGGATGGGGCTCTGCCAATAATAATTGATTCATAGTGCTATGATTGTGTAGTATAGAAAGGCCAGCAATAGTGTTATCCCACTGCAGTATTTATATTGCAAATGAATAACTCAACTTGAGATACCATCAGATGAGGCCTAATGACTTCAGAAGTAAGAGAAAATACATAGGAAAGAAGTTGCTATATATCAGGCAAGGAATGGGTGGTTTGGTTTATACAGCATAAGAGTTTCCATCAAACTATTACTTCATTATCACAAATTTGCCCATCCAGTCAAAACATTTAGAGTGTCTTGTTTTCAGAGGTCTGGATTCGACTCTGTTCATTCAGCCACATTTCTGTAGGAATGCTGCTTCTTCCCCATACCAACCATGCTCTTTATCTTTGCCACAGCAGGCAATCAGAATATGGAAATGGCTCTACCTGTACTTGTTTTTGATAGGATTGCACTGGCATTTCCAGTTTTTAGTGGGTCCCTCAATCTCATGTCTTAATTCCATGGTTGGTTATGGGGGAGGGAATTATGCACAGACCCAAAAATTCACCCTGGCATCATTTTGATTTGAAATATTCCAAGAGAAAATGTGTGCTCTGGGCATTGTCCCCCTGTAGCACTGGTTTGACAGGTACAATGAGATACCACTGTTTACTGCAATTCAAGTTTCAGTTTAATAAACAAAGACAACCTAAGCCAGCACTTGATTATTTTTAGTAAACTGTAAAGCTTCTCTCTGCTGTACATTTTGAAATTATTCAGCTCCGATATATTTTCAAGCTGCCAAATTCCCTGGCATGTGCTTCACGCCTCCTTTTGACTCTTTCTAAAGCTCATGTATTTTACTTCCAGGATTAAAAGCCTCTCTCCAGAGGCTGCAGCTTGAGTACGTGGATGTCGTTTTTGCAAATCGACCTGACAATAATACTCCAATGGAAGGTGAGTGAGAGATTTAATAAAAGCTTGCTTGCTTGATTGACCCTGGCTCATAAGCTTATGGCAAATCATGCCAGGAGAGAAAATAGATCCTCCTCAATTATCCCAGGTAGGGGGGAAAGATATGAAAAGCACCTCTCAGTCTTGATCCCTGATCCTTTGATGTCTTTTTTAACTCCACTCTTTGCAAGTGCCTGGTTGTGCTCAGTGCCACAGAGAACTGTGTCTGCAGTATGTATATAACCTCAGGCCTGTGATTATGAACTTCCCCAAAGGAACTTCAACACTGTTAGCTCTCTGTGTATAAATGTTCCTCTTCTTTATTTATTCAGACAAATTTAGATTGGCTTTCGGCTTGAATGTGAGATCCCTGTTTCTTCGCCTTTTCAGTTGACATAATGTCCCCAGGCATGGAGGCTAGAACTAGAACAGGAGTGGGGAATGAGTAGTCTTCCAGCTTTGGTGGACTACATGTCTCATTAGTTCTTGCTGACATAGGCAATGAAGAAGAATGAAGAATGTTGCAGTCCAAAAATACCTTGAGGACCACATGTTCCCTACTCTTGTGTTAACAGAGAACATGTGTCCAATTCTGGGCACCACAATTGAAGGGAGATGTTAACAAGCTGGAATGTGACTAAAGTGATCAAGGGTCTGGAGAACAAGCCCTATGAGGAGTGGCTTAAAGAGCTGGGCATGTTTAGCCTTCAGAAGAGAAGGCTGAAAGGAGACATGATGGCCATGTATAAATATGTGAGAGGAAGTCGTAGGGAGGAGGGAGCAGGCTTGTTTTCTGCTGCCCTGGAGAATAGGACATGGAACAATGTTTTCAAACTACAGGAAAGGAGATTCCACCTAAACATTGGGAAGAACAATGTTTAGGTGTCAGGAAGAACTTCCTGACAGTGAGAGCTGTTCAGCAGTGGAACTCTCTACCCTGAAGTTTGGTGGAGGCTCCTTCTTTGGAGGCTTTTAAGCAGAGGCTGGATAGCCATCTGTTGGGATGCTTTGAATGTAATTTTCCTGCTTCTAGGCAGGGGGTTGGACTGGATGGCCAATGAGGTCTCTTCCACCTCTATGATTCTATTATTCTATGTGGTTCCCATTCTGTCCTCCCATCCTGCATCTAAATATCAAAACATGTGACATGATATGGCAGGATTTTCTCTTTTTCAACTTCCCACAGAGATAAAATGTCTTTAGTGGCTCTTATTAGTTCAGTGGGAGAACCAACATAATCACTGTATCCCCATGGAAACCATTTCTAAATGGCATGGCAAGCACTGGAACTACTCATGCTGGGGAATGGGAGTTTGGCAGCAATGCATCCAACCAGGGGAGGTATTTATATCATATCGCTTTCATGGTTCTGTGCTTTCTGGTACAGATTGGCTAAGCAGGTATGAAGATTTCAGCTCTTGTCCTGGGAACAAAGTTAGCAGTTTGCTCATAAAGGAAAAATGGAACTTGTGGAAGGAGAAGCCCAGGAGCAAGAGAATGGCAGGAGGAAGAGAAATAGGAGTTTTTGCAAGTGTGGGCAAATGATACTTCACTGGAAAGAAGAAGGCACTGAAATCCTGGGACTTTATGGTGGATTTCATTGTGGATTTCATTGTGATTTCATTGTGGATTTCATTGTGAAGATGTGCTGAGGATGCAAGCGAAGGAGCTTTGCTAAGGTGCCTGGGTCTATGGATAGGACTGTTGCGCTCCAGAGCAGGATTCCCTCTTACTTCAAACACCACACAGCTGAGTTAAAATAGCAAGCAGTTTATTGAAGATAATAAAAGCTAAAGCAATAAAATGTAATGCACTGTAAAAGGTAAATCCAAATTGGGTAGGAAGGATTCCTACCCAATTCCAGAAGAATAGTCCAAAAGAGTCCATGAAATTAGATTCTTGATTTCCAAGGCAATAAACAGCAAAGCACTTGAACATGGATCAATCAACGGCAAAAGTTCAGGAACTTAGAGAACTTAACATGAATCCAATGATGCTTCGTCTGCCATTTGATTCTGTACTTGGCACTTATTTCCCAACTATCTCTACTGTCCAACTATCTCTACTCACTTATTTCCCAACTATCTCTACTCACTACTTCTGAGGATGCTTGCCATAGATGCAGGCGAAACGTCAGGAGAAATGCCTCTAGAACATGGCCCTATAGCCCGAAAAAACCCACAAGAACCTAGTGATTCCAGCCATGAAAGCCTTCGGCAATACATATCTCTACTGTGTTTCCCAAACAGCCAAGAATTGATTTTTACTCAGCCATGGGTTCACTGCTAGCCTCTGCTGTAATCTGGCTGAACACCTTAGAGTCTGATTTTTTTTTGTCTTTGCTGACTAAAAACACTTCTTCTGTTCAAGGGCTCATTAACTTCTGCACCTGGAGAAGATAACTGACCAGGAGACTGCAGTGCTGAGCCGTTCCCAGTCTCAAGGCCTTGACAATTCTTTTGCAGCAATACAAGCCTCTCAACTGAGCTACAATCAGGCCCAGGGCACAGACCATCATCCCCATTCCCTTCAAGAACATTCCCATCAGAGGAATCACTTTGAACATGATCCACATTGTCATTCCCTGCATCCCCACAACTTGATCATTAGACACATGAACCACATTGTTACTCCCATTATCCAGAGCACCCTGATCATTAGACACAAACACAGGCTGAACAGGCTGACATACAACAAGGACAGTGAACACATTTTGTGAAGTTTAATTCTGGGCCTCGTACACACATTCACTCTTACATGCACATACATTTCAAGTCAGTAGCTGCACTCCCAAGAGGTCAAGGTTGACACAAGTAGGAACTTGAAATTTGTCAGTATACTAGTAGGATTCTTGTTCCATCCCTCTTCCATATCAGGTCATGAAAGTACCTTGGATTTTTAAAGAAAGGTCAGGGCAAAATAATCTCTCTGTCACTGTCTAGTAGGTGAAAGAGGACTTTCGATAAAAATTCAGTTTCCTGTGATAAATGTGGAGATGAGAAAATATGGATCATATTATTTGGGATTGCCTATCACGCAGGAATGAACAGATGTATTTTTTCTAGTTATGTTGACTAATAGACATTGCTGCTGTTGATTTGGGAGCTATTAATTATTGTGGCTCGAGGAATCCAATATTATCTGGCACTAGATTTTTTTGTATGCCTATAATTGCTTTGGTCATTTATAATTTAGGGTTGTTGTCTCTTGAGGCTGTTGTCATAAGCAGTTAGCAGCAGTACTATTTTCTTTTAGGCTTATTCCAAGTAGAAAAACAAAAAAACACACTGGTTTTTTTACACATTTTTAATCTATTGTTAAATAATGTTTTGTAACTGTTTTATGATACAGTGCTTTAGGAATCCAAGTAGGTAGACGAACAATTAACATATTGCTTTGATGAATAATCTAGCTTTGTGCAACAGCCTATAAAATTCCTGATAGACAAGATTTTTACCATTAACTTGCTCTCTATAATGAACGTACTAACTCTGGAAATGAATAGCTGGAGCAGAAGCCTATCTATTAGTGGTCATTAGCCTTGAAAATAGTAAGCCTCATTGCTTAATGGCAGAAGAGCTCAGCCCAGTTTAATCATTCTTGATTTGCTGGTAAATTTCACTGGGCTAACTAGCTATTATTGGGAGACCAAATTCTAAGCTAAGTGGACAGTTCATCCAGTGCACCTTGGCTTTTCTCAAACTAAGCTGTTTGGTAATTATCCAAGGAATGTGGCATAGTCTGCTAATTAGTAGACAACACTTTACCTTGGAATGCATATAATTTAAATGCTAATTGGCTTCATTTGTTTCCACAAAATATTCTTTAAGCTTCATTGTGCCAGAACAAGAACTCTATAAAAACAAACACCTGCAACCCTTTTTGTGTTCCAGGGATATTGTTGCATCTGCATTTTCCTGTGATTTCAAGTTACTGTTATTTCACAGACATTTTCAGAGGCCAAGAGTATTATTTATTTCCTACAGCTATTTTCCCTATGCTCATTTCTCATCCAGAGACTAATATGTTTAGAAGCACTGTGCCATATATAGTATGTGTCTTCCCACCCATCTCTAAGAATCCAGATTAGTCATGATCCTTCTTATTTGTAGCTTCATCTTTGTGTAGATTAATATCCACGTACTAAACTGAACACGTTGCAGCCCTTCAGCGTAAATTGGAGCAAATACTGATATCAGTTTCTGAAAGATTACAGTGATGTGATGTTTAGTGGCGGTGCCCTATTGTTGTAAAGTCGAGCGCTTTTGCTAGAGATGGAAACTAGTGCAAATTTGCCAGCCGTTGAGGAAGTCACAGAGCATAGCATGTCATGTTTCTCAGGGGGAGATATAACCTTTCTGCCCAACCAGTTGTAATGAAGAGAAAAATAAAATGGGCTTGCAATACTGTGCTTGTTGAAGAATGAAGTCCAAAGTTAATTATAACAAGTATTGAAGTCAGTGGAATTTAAGCTACCTCATCTTACACAGAAGTACAGCCAAGGGTATACATATAAGGTATTTTATTTATTTATTTATTTATTTATTTATTTATTTATTTATTTATTTATTTATTTGTCGTTTCAGAAGCGAACTGAGGGTACTTTAAAAAAAATACAGAGTTTAAAAATTTGGCATTATACAAAATGTCCTTTGTAGTTGGCCACTTGGAGTGCCTCTGGTGTCACTGTGAGAAGGTCCATCATTGTGCATGTGGCAGGACTCAGGTTGCATTGTAGTAAATGGTCTGTAGTTTGCTCTTCTCCACACTCACATGTCGTGGACTCCGCTTTGTGGTCCCATTTCTTAAGGTTGGCTCTGCATCTCATGGTGCCAGAGTGCAGTCTATTCAGTGACTTCCAAGTCATCCACTCTTCTGTGTGTTCTCATTTGATATTAGCCATGGATTGAGGTTTTAGATTTTTAGCCTGCCACTTTTGGACTCTTGCTTGCTGAGGTGTTCCTGCAAGTATCTCTGTAGATCTTAGAAAAGTATTTCTTGAT